TCACGCGCTGAACGTGCATCCGGTAGCCGCGCCTCTCGAGCGCCTGCTTCGCGCTGTGCAAGTCTGACTCGCCTATGAGGGCCTGCGCGGCAGCGGTGCCCACCAGCGCCTGGTCCTCCATGTCTCTCAACGTGACGCCGGCGAAAATCAACTGCTCGTCGTCGGTCTCCTCGACGGCCTCGGCCAGCTCCCCCAAGAACGCAGCCCAAGAGGGAGCGCTCGTGCTGAAGGCGTCGCGCTCAAAGAAATAAGACCCCTCCTTGCTGAACGCCCCAGTCGACTTTCCTTCTGCCTTGAGCCGCTCAGCCTTCGAGCGATAGGGCCTCTTGCAATCTTCTCTCCAATGGCCCTTCTCGCCGCAATTCGAGTGCCCCGACCTCTTCTCAATGTCCTGCTTGCCAATGCGTCTGTGTCTAGGTTCCGCGGGTACCGTGTCGCACTTGCGCTCGCGATCGAAGAAAACGCGGTCCACCTTCCTGGCCGCCTTGAACTGTCTCGACTCCTCCCATGCTCTCCTGCGCTTCTGATCACCAACCTCGGCAAACACCTGGAAAGCCTCATCCTCGTACAAATCTCGATCCTCGAGCGCAGCAAGAAATACGGCGTGGAGTTTAGTCTTCTCCATGAGCTGTCGTCGTCTTCCTCGGTTTGCACCGCGAGTTCCCTGGGCCCTGCTGCTGCCGCACTTGCCTGTCCCTTTGGCCCAGTATGACCACACTCCAGCTACTATTGTCAATATAATCGTCGGGCAGGAGTCTCGAAGGGTACGAGGGGGAGGGCGACGAGATTTACAGCATGGGCCTGCGGAAAATATGGATGAAACCGCGGCTGCCGACGGGCAGCCCTCTAAACCCAAATGGGCTGCGATCAAACTCTAGACGAATCCAAAGATGGAGGAATGGGGGAAGGGAGAACACCACACCTCCGACCCACGACATCCCCACACCCTTCAAGCAGCGCTGCTGGAGGAAAGGAGCACCGCGAGCTGACGAAAACGAGCCTGTTCCTGCATTCTGCTGCAGGTGAGGGGATGGGCTAGAGACCGTCAACAGGTAGAAAAACCAGAAGCTTCAGAGTCTGCACGCCAAAAGGGTTCAGAGTCTGCCCGCACCAACACACCTGCAGACCAAACACCCTCATGCTCGAAGCATCCCTACCACTTCGCTGTTTAGGGCTTTGGGTTGGTCGCAAGGGCGCGGCGCATGTGTCCATCCCATCTGCGCGCTGTGGAAGGCCGGCTTCCCTGAGCGTGCCACGTCGTCTCCCCTTCTGCTTCTCTCCCGCCCCCCACCCCAAAAACGCCCCCAAGGCTTGGCCAACGCCACAGCAATGATGGTGGAGGGTCGAAGAAAACAGCTGGAGGATCAAAGTGGGGGGAGCGGGGTTGGGTACGCAGTCTGCTCCCAGACGCTGTAATCGGCAAGCATTATGCTGCCGCTCTGTTGACCAGGGTTGACACATGTGCTCGTTTTCCCGTTCCACACGTCAGCCTAATCATTGGAATCAGCCGGGGCAATCGAACGATCTATGTATAACGTCGGTGGAACATGGATTTCATTGTCGTTCCCTGGACGAAGAGTTGCGACCACATGTAAAGCAGGCAATGCATTGGACTTGGGAACGACGGCTAGCTCATGGTTCCACCCATCACATACGCGATGAAACCCGCATTCACGCTGAATTGTGTGACACCCCCCAGGATGTGACACCCCCCAGGACGAGGTCGCGAGGCACATCCATGAAGAGCGCGCCCTTATCGCCGTGGCTCTCGAGATACACCGCCTTCTGCTCTGAAGGCTCCTCGCTCTTCTCGTCCACGGCCGCCGGCTGGACAACGGCCTCCCCATGTTCATCAAAGTGATCGCCACGTGCACCGTGAACAAGGTCCGCAACAGCACCTGCAAGTGCAAGCTTTTCAGGCTGAGCACTGCCAGGACGATCTGAAAGACTGGGGGCCGCAGCCTCCAGCTTGCCGACCTGCTCGGCACCCGAGGAGATGTCAAAGGCCTCGGCGGCCTCGTGGCTCGGACCCTCTGCTCGGCCCGCGGGCGGCACTGGGCAGGACGACCGCGGACACACGCTCGCAGACTGAAAAGGAGATCCTGCAGGTCCAGCAGCTGGGCTTCCAGGAGTTCGTAGTCCTGGCCCGTGCTTGCGGAACGCCCGATCTCTGTCAGGGTCCCGCCGCTGCGGCACTTCGGCGTGTCGTGCTCCGCGTGGCCCTCTTCGGCGTCCTCGGCGCTCGATGGCCCCGCCGTGCCAGCGCAACCCCGCGCTGGCCTGCGCAGCGCCTCCAGCACCAGCTTGCCGACCTGGCCCGGCGGATGTGCGAGCGCCCTACGGCCTGTCTTCCAGCAGTCGAGGCGCTTCGCCGGCTCGAGGTCGCCCCTGCGAACGAGGCCGACTCCGGTGTCCTCGGGCGTGGCCGTTCGAGGCAGCCCGAGGAGGTTGGCCGCATCCCCCAGCACGCCCTCGCACTCCCAAGGGTGATGGCCCATCGCCTCGCCGCCTTCACGACCGTTCAGGCGCTCCAGGAGCTCAGCGGCAGCCTGCACTGGGCCGCAGTAGACCACGCAGCGCCCACGCCGAGCAACGACCCCTGTTCCCCTGGAAGACTAAGCTCGAGTCTGAAAGGCCAGAGTCCACTGAAACAGTTCAGAATGCAAAATACACGAATGTCTTGCCGTGGGGAGGTGGGCGAGAACCTTTGGGAACCGCAACCCACCCCACTAGAGCTGAAAAGGTTCCGGACACTACCCCCTTCTCCTGGTCGCCCTCCTCCTCCTCCTCCTCCTCCGACTCCATCTCCATCTCCTCCTCCTCCTTCTTCTTCTCCTCCTTCTCCTCCTCCTCCTCCTCCTCCTCCTCATCATCATCATCATCATCATCAGCATCAGCATCAGCATCATCATCATCATCATCATCATCATCATCCTCATCAGCAGCAGCAGCAGCATCATCATCATCATCATCATCATCATCATCATCATCATCATCATCATCATCGACATCGTCATCATCATCAACACCATGATCACCATCATCATCATCAACAGCATCATCATGTCCCTTCCCCTTCTCCTCCTCCTCCTCATCATCATCATCATCAACAACATCACTGTCATCATAATCCTCCAACTCCTCCTCCTCCTCCGCATCATCATCATACGGATCATCATCATCATCATCATCATCATCATCATCATCATCATCATCATCATCATCATTGCCATCATTGCCATCATCATCGTCATCATCATCATCAGCATCATCATATTCATCATGAGCAGCATCATCGTCGTCAGCATCACCATCAGCATCATCAACATCAGCAATATCATCATCATCATCAGCAGCATCAGCATCCGAATTGTCATCATCATCATAATCACCGTCAGCATCAGCATAATCATCAGCATCATCATCAGCATCAGCATCATCATCAGCATCAGCATCATCATCATCATCAACAACATCATGATCACCATCATCATCATCAACATCATCATCATGTCCCTTCCCCTTCTCCTCCTCCTCCTCCTCCTCATCGTCATCATCAACAACACCACTGACATCATAATCCTCCAACTCCTCCTCCTCCTCTATCGCATCATCATCATACGGATCATCATCATCATCATCATCATCATCATCATTGCCATCATCATCGTCATCATAATCATCAGCATCATCATCGTCATCATGAGCAGCATCATCGTCGTCAGCATCGCCATCAGCATCATCAACATCAGCAACATCATCATCAGTAGCATCAGCATCCGAATTGTCATCATCATCATAATCATCGTCAGCATCAGCATAATCTTCAGCATCATCATCATCATAATCGTCAGCATCACCATCAGCATCGTCATCATCGTCAACATCCCGCTTGTCTTCCCCGCCCCATCCCCCATCACCCTCATCCACCTCACCCTGCATCCCTCCGTTCTTCACGCTCGGAATACTGCCCGCTCCTCCACCCTATTCCTCCCCACCTGCCTCCTTACCCACATCTTCCTCACCACGCATCCTCCTGCTCCATGCGTCCCTTCCAGTTTTGTCTGGTGCATCATGTTGCATGCAGTTGCGTTACATTACATTCCTGCGCCTCTTCCTTATCAACTTCCTCCTCCTCTTTGTAGCCGCCTCTCCATATGTATGTATATATGTATTGCCGTCCATCTACATCTCATTCGCTGTCGCTGTCTGCCTGGCTGCCTGTCTGCCTGGCTACCCCCTCTCTCTCTGTATATATCCTTCCTCTTCCCCCCCCTCACCCTCCCCCTCCTCACCCCCCACCCTCTCCTCCTCCACTCCAACTCCTGCTCTCAAACTCATGCTCGTTCTTTCTTGCAGCCCAGGCACGATGCGGCCCGCGCGCAGCCACAGCACAGGAGAACCTACGTATCGTGAAACCTGCCTGACAACGTGTTTACTGCAACTGCTGCTACTGATCACGTGCATGCAGTGCATGCAATACCGTAGAACAGAAAAAAACATTGCCCAATCCAAGCTCAACGCCTCGACCACAACTGGAGACTGCAATGCACCGAGAAATTTGCCGCCCCCCCCCATACTGCCAGCGCCCGCTGACTAGAAAATTACTACAACTCCTCCCATGGCCAGTCCACCGCTTCCGTCCCGAAGCCCACCGCGTCCGCCCCGAAGCCCGCTGCCAATCCCACTCCCCGTCACATTCCTATTCCTCCTTCTCCTCCTCCTCCTCCTCCTCCTCCTCCTCCTCCTCCTCCTCCTCCTCCTCCCCCCGCCCGACGCTTCCGCGTCTCCCGTATGTACGGGCGTGTCTCCCCCGACGAGCTCGTACTTTGGGAACGTTCCCAACGGTGGCGCAAGATCTCGGGGTTGGATGTCACGGACCACCATGAAGACGACTGTTGTATGTTTGTTCGCCTGCGTGCGAGGGTCTCGTCGGAGCTTTGCCCGAGCAATCGGATCCTTCAGATCCCTACCCCATGCCCCTCCGCTTCGCTCTGGTCCTCCAAGGAGAAGAGCTCGGGGAACTTGGCGAGGAACTTGTTCATGTCGCGGGCGATGCCCTTGCGCGCCTGGCGGCCCGAGAACACAATCGTCAGTGTCACCGTGTCCACCATCACAATCATCGGCATGACCCCCATCCCTCCTCCCTCCTCCCTCCTACCACCAAGACCCCCTCTTTTCTCCTCTTCCTCCTCCTCCTCCTCCTCCCCTCCTCCTCATCATCCGCCTCTTGCTCATGCTCCTCCTCTCTTCTCCTCGCACCTCATTCCCCCTCCATCCCACCCACCCTCCTCCACCCATCCTCCGTTATGCCCATCGCTCCTTCCTCCTCCGTGGTCCCTTCCCATCCCCTCCCCACCCCCCCACACACATGTTCTTCATTACCCGCACCCCCCCCTTCGATCCCCACTCCCTCTCCCATGCTCATCCTCCTCCTCATTATCCTCCTCTGCCTTCTCGTTCGCAACCTCCTCCTCCTCCTCCTCATCCTCCCCCCCCTCCTCCTCCTCGTCCCTCCGACACTCTCATTCCTCTTCAACCAGATTCCTTGAACAGCGGCAGGAATATTGGCGGTAGTGGCAGCGACTGCGCTAGCAATCGCTGAGCCAAGCGTGCCCTCTTGGAGGGCAGCGGTTTGCTGCGTCGCTCGAGCGGGCGCGGCCGGCGTGCGATTCCTTGACGTGGTGCGGTGCCGTGCTGTGGTGCGGTTTCGTCGAGTGCCGTGCCGTGGTGCCGTGCCGTCGCGCAGTGCCATGGTCCCGTGCCGATGTGCGCGGGTCGGCTGTGCGCTGGCCTGGCGGTTCCGCCTGGCTGGGGCGGGGTGCAAACGCCAGCCAGGCACCCTGGCCAGGGCAGCGGCCGAGCTTTGCCTGGCTGCCGACGAAGCCAATGCGCCGCGCGCTAGAATGGTGGTTGCGGCTGTTGCCGACGCGCCCAGTAAGGCGCGTCCCGCTGCAACCTCGGGAGCTGCATCCTGATGCCACAAGAGGCGCTTCGTTCGCGTGGGTTGCCGCTTTGGCGTCCACGCGGGTATTCGCCCGCTCGACAATCCCTCGGCCTCTGACGCATTGGGTGCGATCCCGAATGTGCGAATCAGCACGTTGGAGTTGATTGCGCCGTTTGCGGGTTGTGGCAGATCTTCCACCTAATTCGTGGCACCGCGCTGATATCTTGCTGCTTGTAAACTCGGCAGTCGCGCTCGGGACGATCACGAGGGGCTGCTTCAGTCAAACCGATTGGAATGAGCTGGTGTTCAGATTTTGGTTCGCAGCCGCAGACCAAAGGCACCAATTTTCCGCCTGGATATTCCCGTCGAAACAAAATATGGCCGATGGCCCGTCCAGGGAACGCGGCACCGCTGGCACTGTGCGAGAGCTAGTTGGATGTAGGTTCCAAGAACTTGCATGGCAGTGGCCAGCGGGCACTTCGTGGAGCAGCTTGTGCATGTGACTGTCGCCAAAGACTAACGCGAAAAAGTGATCGTCCGTTGCAGTCGCGCTGCCTTGCCAGTGCGTCGAATCTTCGTTTCACCGCAGCCACAATCGGGTCCTTGGGGGAAATAGCTGTATATCGGTGCCTTTCCCTCCCTTTCTCTTTCCTCCTGCCCTCCCGTTCTCCCCAGAGGGGTTAGGAGGTTGCGTGATTGCATTGGAACTTAAGGCGCTTCCAGGAGCAAGTGGCCGGCTCTCGGCTTCAGTGAGGCGCGGGTCACTGTTCGTAATTCGCGGGCTCGCGGGCCCCGTTGAATCTTGATCGTCGCCACTGCGTCGTCGTTGCATCTTCCCCGGAGCCGCGACAGGACTCGAGCGGTTTTGATGAGATCCTCAGCAGGCCGTCCTGCATGATCCAGCAGGCTGCTGGCCCCAGCGCCAACGCCGATGCTGGCCAGAATTAGAGTCCCGGTTGGCTCGCGACGGGGCGATCCAGATCTTGAACGATCCGGTCCAGAAAGCCTTCGCGGAGCCTGGCCTTGGTCGGAAGGCTGCGCGAGCGACTTCCAGATCGAGCTGGCGCGCCCTGGCAGCCAGGCCAAGCGAGCTCGCAGCGGCCAGCGCGCTGGGGCGCTGGAGGCCTCCTCCTCTCTCCTCCTCCTCCTCCTCCTCCGCCTCCTCCTCCTCCTCCTCCCTTCTCCTCCTCCTCCTCCTCCTCCTCCGCCTCCTCCTCCTCCTGCGGCCGCAATGCAATTGGCGCACCCCGGCGGGACCCCGCGCGGCACGGACCAGGTGCTCGCCGCGCTGGGCCTGCTGGCAACAGCCAGGATCCGCAGTCTTGGCTACAGTCAAAACGTATAGTAAGGACGCGTGGTAAGGACGCAAGACCCTTGGAGGCTGAAGTTGGGATTTTTGGGCGGCGGCGACCAGTGAAAACGGCAAAGGACGGGCCACATAATCAAGGACGCAAGGGTATCCTAGATGAAGGCGCGCGTCCTTACTAGGCGCTTTGACTGTACGTACCAGACCACCCCAACCCAACCCGAAGACCCCAACTTCGGGTACGGGTTCCACACGTGCTTGTTCAGAGTTCCCCGACGCCCCCCCCCCCACTTCGGGTACGGGTTCCACACGTGCTTGTTCAGAGTTCCCCGACGCCCCCCCCCCCCCCACTGGAAAGATTGGAGGGCAAGTTGCGGCCTTCGGGTTGGGTTGGGGTGCTCTGGTGGGTGGTGAACTCTGGTCTCGCAGCCTCACGAGCTGGCGGATGCTATCCGGGCCGCCGGTCGCACTCGGGGCTGCTCGGGCGCAGCCGATGCTGCAAGCGAGCCACGGCGTTCTGCCAAGCAGCCGCGGGGCCCGCGGGGAACCGTGCGGAGTCCAGAGGGCACGCGGCGCGCCGAGGTGCAAGCGCTGTGCGAATCGGTGTGGCGGGAGTTCCAGAGCTGGCGACAGAGCGGCCTCAAGCACGGGTCTCCACTTCGATCGTGGGGCACCCTTTCAGACAAACTGTAATGGGGGGACACGATAAAAACTTTCTGGGAAAACATGTTTCGCGGGCCCCCCCGCCCCCGCAATAGCGGGGGGGCAGGGCAGGCAGACGGGGGGCGAACAATTCCGGGTTGCCTGGAAGGCCAGGGGGAACGGAGGAGAAATATAGAAAAACGGCCCTTCCCGCCCGCCGCCCAGAACGCCTGCCATTGGAATCGGGCAAGCACTCCCCAGCCCCTTCAGCCCCCAAGAAAGGAGGCAGAGGAGGCTCAGGCCCGAGGCCTGGGGCGGGCGGCGATGGAAGCGCCGTCGAAGGGGGGGGAGGAGAAAGAGGAGGAAGAGGAGGAGGAAAAGGAAGAGAAGGAAAAGGAGGAGGAGGAGGAGGAGGAGGAAGAGGAGGGGAGGAAGAGGAAGAGGTGGAGGACGAGGAAGAGGAGAAGGAAGAGGAGGAGGAGGAAGAGGGGGAGGAAAAGGAGGAGGAGGAGGAGGAGGAGCAGGAGGAGGGGTCCAGCACAGGCCCGAGCAAAACGATCCTTGAGGCCCCGCGGCTTCGGTCCTGCTGGTTCGTGCTGGCCGTTATCCTATCCTCCTCTTTCTCTTTCTCCTCCTCTCCTCCTCCTCCTCCTCCTCCACCTCTTCGTTATCCTCCTCCTCCTCTCCTCCTCCTCCTCCCTTCCTCTCCTCCTTCTTCTTCTCCTCCCCCCCCTCCTCCTCCTCCTCCTCCTCCTCCTCCTCCTCTTCCTCCTCCTCCTCCACCTCTTCCTCCTCCTCCTCATCATCATCCCCCACCTCCCAATCGCCGCGGCCGTCCGCAAGGACGACCGGCGGCCGCCCGCAAGGACGAGGGTGATCAACCGCCTTTTCGAAAACCCCTTCCCGCAACTACTCCCTAATTACCCCGCCCCCCTCCGCAATCCTCTCCCCGCGGCCGCGGGTGATCAAGCGAGCGAAGGAGGACGAATAGAGAATCAGTTCCCCCAAAGGGGCAAAAGCAAACGCCGGGGGGCGGACAATTAAAAAGACAGTTTCCGGCGGCTGCATTCTATTAGTCCGCCCCACTCTATCATTTTGGGGTGTCCGGGGGGGGATTTTTTTTTAATCGTTTCCCCCCATTAAGTCGACCCGTGGCCAAGGAGTGACGGTGCATTGGGCGGGCGGGCTACAGCTGTTCAAAATGGGCCCACTTCACTGAAGTACTTTGGGTAAGGTCGGTCTGTGCTTCGGTTGATCACGGCAGGTTTGGGCAGCTTGGCAGACACTGCCGAACTTGCCCGCGGGGCGAGCAAGGCGAACAGGACCGATCGCTTTCGCCAGAAAATGCTGCGAAGCAGGCGAGAAGTTTGGCAAAACATCTCGTGTCACAAGGGGACGCAAACTTGTTTGGCAATGTTGTGGTGGCTCGCCATGTTTGCTTCCGCTACGGTTCGGAAATAGCACCTTTGATGACAGAGAGTAGCAACAATTCCGTGCATTTCGAAGCAAAACATGGGCGTTGGGAAGCGAGCGTGTGGTTGCACAAAACAAAGTGTCAGCAAAATGTGGCCGTCACGCGGCGACGAATCTGCGAATCTGCGAATGGGTCATCGAATCGTCAGAGACCTCTGCTTCTGAAGCCCGCGCCTGAAGGAGAACATGCACGCGGCCATCCGCTTCGCGGCTATCTGCCCGTCGTAACGTCGGGAGGGTGTCTGCCCGTGACGACTCGAACCCAGGCGTTCGGCGGCGTGTTCGGGAGGTGCTCATCCTCACGGGGCACGCCCAGCAGCGCCACACACCCTCGTGCCAACAGGAGGCGCGCAGCCACGCCCCAGACCCACGGGAGGCCAATTCTCTTCAACCATCATCCCCGAGTAGCGGCAGGAGGACCGGCAGTACTGGCGCCGATACCGAAGACATCGTTGAGCCAAACGTGCCTCTTTTGAGGGCGGCGGTTTGATCGGGAGGTTCTCGTCCCCACAGGGCACGCCCAGCAGCGCCACACACCCTTGCCAGCAGAAGGTCCCTTGGCGTTCGGTGTGGCGAAGTAGCGCAATAGGCATCCTGACCTGCCACTGAGGGGAAGAAGGAGGAGTGACCCAGAACCATCCACATCGACTGCGCCTGGCAGGAGTACGACAGCGACGACGACGACAACGCCTCCCGAAAGGCCGCGGCGCCTGCGACAACCCCGGCTGACTGCACAGGTCCATCACCTCCCACCCCCGTCCATCCCGATCCTCCCCCTACTCTCCCACTCCTTCCATCTCTACTTCATCCCCTCCCCCTCCCCCTTCCCTCCCCCCTTCCCCCTCACCCCCCGCATGCCCCTCACTCCCTCTCCCATTCGCCCTCACTGCCTCCTCCCAAAAGAAGACTCCCTCCCCCTCCTCCCCCTCCGTCCCCCTCCCCCTCCCCCTCCTTCGGGGTGGCCGTGCTCCCCCATGAAGGGCCCCCCCCTGGGGCAGCAGCTGGCCCGGCACCCTACGGCGCGCGGGCCAAAGGCCCAGTGCGGGCCTGGGCGCTGCCCAGTCCCACGGGTACCCCCTGGGGGCTGACTGTAACGACACTGTCCGAAACATAGTCCCCTCCGCCCTCCCCCCCTGAGATCCGCCGACTTTGCGAAACATATTACATCTCGCCAAATACCACGGCCGGAGCACCAGACCCCTATCTTCGTGCTGCACTTGTGGAACGGGATCGATGTGTGAGGGCCCCGAGGACACGGAACCCGACGAGAACGCCCGGCTCGAAAGAATTGAAACGCCAGGATCTCAGGCCCCCCCCTCCCCTATCCTAAGCTCCTCCCGTTGTGCATCTCTTTCTTCATGGCCATATTGATCATGATGAATGTCAGCTTGTCAGAATCAGACATTTGGGCTGGCATCGCTGCCGCTTCGACCGAGGAAGCAAGGGGCGCCTCGACTCGGCTCCACGGAGGCATCGCCCGCTCCGACGCCCGGGAAGGGAGGTGCCCTCCCCCCCGCCCCGCCCTTCCCCCGGGGCCCGGAGCCCGCGGCGCCTCGGACACCCCGGGCTGGTTGCACAGGTCCATCAGCGCCATCGGGCAGCCGGCGTCCTCTCGCGCAAGGGGCTCCTCCTCCTCGTTTCCTGACGCTCGGCGGGCATGAAGGCCAGGCGTGTTGCGCTCCCCGAGAGGAAACATGAAGAGCCGATTTAGGCGGAATGAGCAAACTGTTTGTTTGATCTGCAGGGCGAGAGCGAGCCTCTTCCGCTAAAAGCTCCGCGGGACGCGCACAGCTTTAATTGGCAGAGAAAGGGCGGGAGCAGGCGGCGGGGTGAGCAAACAAATTACGCCGCAGACAGGTGCAGCTAAAGCACAGCAAAACGAGCAGAACAGATCGGTGGCCCGTGGCCCGACGGGGCGGGAGTAGCCCCGTCCGCGGTAGTGCAGTGTGGGGAGGAAAATATGCCATGCACAACGCAACTATTACAATCATGTGTCGACAACCGTGCGAGAAAAATCGAGATGCGCGTGCAAACCAGTCTGGAAGTAGTGTTCACCTGCATTGTGTTCGACAAGTCAGGCAATTGAAAAACCCAAAAAGGCTACGCTAATGAGGTAAACCGTGAGCCAAAATGGCCATTGTTGCAACAACTCCTCCTCTCACCACCATGACACTCCGTACCTTGCTGCAGGGTGTTCGACGGTTGTTGTGCCAGGCTGGCGCTGCCAGTGCAGTCTGGCCCAGTGTGACTAAATAGAGGAACGTAAGGCACAATGCAAACTATATCGTTACCAAGTGAACTACGGGTAAATGCTGCCGTCTGTCGGTCGTAGGCTGGCACTGCCACTGCAGGCTGGCCACTGTAAACTGCCATGGGTATTGACTCGCTGTCTAAGCCTGGCATATGCCGTGCTGGCATACTACATTACGTCTATCAAGTCGTGCTTACGTATTGTAGGCTGGCGGTGTACCATTGACTAGCCTGAGACGTGAAATCAAACGCAGGCATACTGCGTAGGGTGTGAGAGAGTGAACATCTGGCACTCGGCGGCCCACAATAGGGCTGGCACCCCCTCCGCCGAAGGCCAAAATAGCCACTGTTGTCAGTGGTGCTCTCTCCCTCTCCCAATAAGAACCACAAGGAACCACCTTCCCTACAACACACCCGTCCTTCAGAGGGTAGGCTAGTGCAGAGCGCGGGTGAGATTGCACGTGCGCCTTGCGTGTACAGGTGTAGGGATGCAGGTAGAACACTGGTATAAACGTGTTGAGGATCTGTTTAAACCCGTTTGAAATTCAGAGCACCCTAGGGCAGCCTGGGGCAATGTAAATCCGAAGATTGACCGCGTGTACTGAGGTACGCCGTAGCGAGTCGCTGTGAGTGAGTAGCATGGTCGCTGCTGGTGGCGAAGTGGGTCAAAGCCAGCCTGAGCAGACAAGCCTGCCACTCTGACACATTTGCCCGCAAGAGAGCGTCCTCCCCTTACGCTGCCCAAACCAAGCCCTCCACCTCCAATCCTCAGGAGAAAATCGTGATCCTGGCCAGGCGGCCCCGTCTTTAGAATGTGGCTGCTACTGTAGACATGTCGCACCCCAGAGGTTAGACAGGTAGGCAGACTGGCGAGCGGAGTAGCGCCACGGCGAACAACGAGAGTATGCGGGACCCGTCCATCTCGCGCCGTCTCCGTTTTCCTCTCCTGGTGCATCGTTTTCATCCCGCCATTCTCATTCCATCCTGGTGCGCAGAATCCCGCCAGCCCTCTGGGCGTAGGCAGTCCAGGACGATACGTATTCCCCCCACTCCTTTGAAGGGCCCCAGGGGCACACACACACACACATGTAACCAAATATAGACATACCTACACAGCTATATATATATATATATATATAGAGAGAGAGAGAGAGAGAGAGAGAAAAAAAAAAGAGAGAGAGAGAGTAGACACAAGCCCAAATATTCCCAAACAATCCCATATTCTCGGGGTGTTCGTCGTCCCCTTCCACTGTCCAGCTGTTCCACCTTTCGTGGGAATCGACGATTCTGTGCGTCTGTGTGGCTTCCCTTCCGAGATCCCCTTTGGGGAAGGATTTCTCACTGCCCATTCAAAAACACCCCCTCCCACAGTCGACTGGCCGCCGACCAGTAACGAGGCGCCCCCCCAACCCCTGTCAAACATTACGCTATCGAGGAGCCCCACATACTGACTTCATTTCTGGCGTTGAGGAAATGGGGGGTGAATGAGACGCGGGTGCGACACGGGTGTGAAGAACACCAGAACCATACTTAAGGTATGGGGAACAATCCAAAGCGTTTCTCCACGCGGAAGCGCAACAATAATTGATCGCACAACAGCGTAACGGAAACTGTACAGAACAACGGCCGTGCTACCCACATGCAAATATCCACGGAAGCCCAAGCGACAAACATATGACATTCACACATCCACACACACATTTTCAGTTCGAGGTTTTGGATGCAGCTGGTTTCAAACAACGTAGGCATCATTCGTTTATATACATATATATATATGTGTATATATATACATCTATATATATATAAATAAGCACACAACCACACAACGTCAAAACGGTTCCGTGGAGGGCCGCGTCAATACGTTGCCAGACAAAGTCTCGAATTCAATCGTGCCTGCGGCAAGCGGCTCCTCATGAACGGCATGCATCTGCCTCGGCCGCCCCTTGGAAGTCCGATCGCTCTCTTGCGATCGGACCGGGAGAGTGATTGGGGCCAGATGGTGCCGCTCCTCACTCCCCCTCGGGCAGGGCGCCCATCTCAGCAAGCCTTGTCATTCCCTCTTCTTTCCGCCACCCTTTCGGCGGACCAACGGAAGCACACTCCACGTGGCAGAAGAGCTGCTGAGGGCGCGGTGGCCGTGTTCCACTCGGCGTGCAACGCGAAAAACTATGTTCGTCGTCCACGCGGTGAACGTGCTCCGCACAGCGCGCAACGTCAATCGATGAATCGATAAATCGGTGCTCTCTCGCCTGCGATGCGCTCGGGACGATCACGACATCCGCCGACCCCTCGTAGGTCCCCGAGGGACCCCAAATCCCCCCCACAAGGACCCGACACCTACCACCTCAGGCCCAGCGCGGCCCCCGATTGAACTCACCAGGGGCGGGGGGGGGTCGGCTCTCCCCAGGCCCCTCCTGTCGTGCCAAAGCAGCCCCTGAGAGCCCCAAGAAGGCCTACACTATCCAAGCAAGGCGCCCACATGGTCTAAGAGAGCGTCGGGACGGCCCGGGGTCGCTCCACGACGGAACAAGATGGCATCCCGACGGCCCACGCGCCCACGCGGCTACTAAGACGGACCAAACCTGCTCCCAGAAAACCACGGGAATAGCTCCAAGACGCGAAACTCGCCCCAATTCCTCGAGGAAATATACACGTTTCTAATGTGCGCCCCTTCCGTCTTCACACCGTCCAAGACAACCCAAGGGCCCATCAAAATCTTCCCAAGACGGCACCTCAGGACTCTCAGAGCGCCCCAAAACGTCCCCAGAAGGGATCAGCGATAAGTACTCTTCAAACATGAAAATTCAACGGCAACAACAATACCAACAACACCAACAATAACAACAACAGCAACACCAACAGCAACAACTACAACGACAACACTACCAGCAACACAAACCACAACAACACTAACAACACCAACAGCAGCAGCAGCAGCAACATTATCAGCAGCAACAACAACAACAAACAATAACAACACCAACAAACAACACCAAACAACAAACAACAATCAACAACTAACAACGAACAACAACCACGACAAAAACAACAGCAACAACAACATCAACACCAACACCAATACCGACACCATCACCAACACCAACAACAACATTCATGTAATACTGTTCGCTCTTATCTGCTCGAAAGCCCGTTAACGCGTATTTCCCAAACCCTCGATACCCGCCCTCTTCATCTTCGATCATACCCCTTTTGGGCGGTATACCTTTCTTCCCTGCAGGTCGGGCCCTGGCAAACGGCGGGGCGGCCGCGGACCGTCGGCCTGGCCAGCGGCAGCGCTGATCGGCGGCAACCCGACCCCAAGAGGGACGGGCAGGGGACTGACCACGACGACGACGACGTCGACGACGACGACGGCGATGACGACGACGAGCGAAAGCGAGAGAGAGAACGACAGCAGGGCCACGAAGGGCACGAAGTGGGCCACGAAGGGCGACAGCGGGGACACGAAGGGAATGCGTATGGGGCCACGACGGGCGCGAACGAGCGGGGGCCACGAAGGGCAGATAATGCGGGGCCACAGGAGCAACGACGGGGCCACTGAGGGTAGCAACTGGGCCACGCAGGACAGCGAGGGGGCCACACAGGGCGACAGCGGGGCCACGAAGGGCATGCACATGGGGCCACGAAGGGCGCGAACAGGGGGGGGCCACGAAGGGCATACGTACATTGGGCCGCGGGGGGCAAGGACGGTGCCACTGAGGGCAGCAACAGGGCCACGAAGGGCAGCGAGGGGGCCGCGGGGCCACGAAGGGCATGCATATGGGGCCACGGCGGGCGCGAACGAGCGAGGGCCACGAAGGGCATACATATGTGAGGCCACGAAGGGCAGCGAGGGGGCCACGAAAGGGCTGCAACGTGGCCACGAAGGGCAGCGAGGGGGCCACGAAGGGCTGCAACGGGACCCCGAAGGGCAGCGAGATCCCGATTCTTGAATAATATGTGAGGGAGTCCTAAGCGTGAGCGCGACTCCTGGATGCCTGAGTGTCGGGAGCGCGGCGCTGGAGTAGATTGCGGGAAATTCCAACGCAAGGGCGCTATTCTTGAGTAGATTGCAAGCAAGTCTCCAGCGAGAGCGCGACTCCAGAGCGCCCAGAGAGCGATTCCTGACTAAATGTTAAGGAATTCCAATGCGAGAGCGCGATTCCTGAGTAAAATGAAAAGACGTCTCGGGCGGGAGCGGGAGTCCTGGCTAAATTGTGAGGAAACCCAGGCGGGAGCCGTTGTTGTTGTTGTAACCCGGGGGCCAACAACGCAACTTGAGGACGAAAACTTTCCCTGAGAGAAAACAGGTTGCGAGCGCCGGGAAGGGCACTTCAATTCAAACATGCAATGTGCACCGGAGGGGGGATCAACAATAATTATTCTTCAGTGAAGAGAGTTCCACCACAACAACAACAACCACAACCACAACCACAACAGCAACAACGGCAACAGCAACAGCAACAGCAGCAGCAGCAACAGTAACAACAACAGCAGCAGCAACAGCAACAACAACCACAATCACAACAACAACAACAACACCAACACCACCAACAACAACAACAACAACAACAATGACAACGACGGCAACAACAACGACAACGACAACGGCAACACCAACAACCACACCAAACACAACAATAACCATACCAACAGCAACAACACCAACAACAACACCAACACCATCAACATCAACAACAACAGCAGCACCACCATCACCACCAACAACAACATCAACAGCAGCATCAACAACACATACATATATATATATATATATACATATGCATATATATATATAAGCACCACCACCAACAACAGCATCGGCAACAACATGCATTTTAAGACTGCTACATCTTATCAGCTCGCGGGCCATTCAACACGAGTATCCCAGACTCTCGATACCCGCCCTCTTCGTCATCGATCGTACCCCGTTGGGGGTATATATCTTTCCGGCTTGCAGCCAATATTTCGTGCAGCTCGTAAGGCAAGGGGAGAGAGGACGGATGGAAAGGGACAAGGGGAAGTGAGGACGACGGAGCACGAGAGATATTAGCAGGAGGGGGGCTAGGAGCAGAAATCACATGGCAGAACCAGACGGGCAGATCGAGCAGGCAGACCCTGACTGCCGCCTCGGGAAGGCGGGCCTGGCAGCAAGGTCGAGCAGGCGGGTTGCTGAAGCGTGAGTCCTGACAGCGCGATTCTCAATGAAATCATGAGGAAGGCCACAGCGAGAGCGTGATTCCTGAGTTTCGAGGGCGCGGCGTTCAAATAAATCGCGAGAAGTCATACGCGATAGCGCGACTCATGCATACATTGTTAGGACGTCCTGCGCGAGAACGCGTTTTTTTGAATACATTGTGAAACAATAAGAGGCGGGAGCCGAGATTGTTGTAACTCGGGGGCCAGAGGCCTACTTTGAGCAGGAGGACTTCCCCTGATAAAAAAACAGGGTGCGAACTCCGGGAGGAACATTGTAATTGATAACACAACGTGCATTGGGGGGAGGGGATCAACAATCAACCGTTCGCAATAATGAACACTCAACAATCTCTTTAATACTGCTCGCTCCTATCTGCCCGCGTGCCACTCAACATGTATATCCCGCACCCTCGACACCCGACCTCTTCGTCCTCGGTCGTACCTTTTTGGGGGGTGTCTCCCTTACCTGCCACGTGCATGTGACGCAGCCGCTTTCAAACAGGGGAAGGCAAGAATTATAGAATGGGGAGAGAGAGGGACGGAGCACGGGAGAAATTAGCAGGAAAGGGGGCTAGGAGCAGAAAACGCGTGGCAGAACCAGACGGGCAGATCGGGCGGGCAGACCCTAACTGCCGCCTCGGGAAGGCGGGCCCCGGCGGCCAGGTCGAGCAAGCGGGTTGCTGAAGCGTGAATCCTGCATGTACCGTGAGGGAGAATACCTAGCGATAGCACGATGGCCATGCACGTCGTCAGAAAAGCAAGAAAACGAGACCAATAATAAGTATAATGTTGTTCGCTCTTATCTGCCCGCGTGCCACTCAGCACGTGTACCCCAAACCCTCGATACCCACCCTCTTGGTTTTCGATCTCAGCCCCATGGGAGTATATCGTCCTTACCTGCAACGTGTATTTCGTGTAGCCCCTAGGGCAGGGGAAGAGAGGACGGATGGAAGGCAGGGACAAGGGGGAGGGAGGAGGATGGAGCACGAGAGAGAAACGCAGGAAGGGGGCTAGGAGCAGAAAACACGCAGCAGAATCAGACGGGCGGATCGGGCGGGTAGACCCGAATGGGAGGGTGGGGGAGGCGGGCCCAACCGGCCAGGTCGAGCAGGCGGGTTGCTGAAGCGTGTCCTGCATGGATCGCGAGGAAGTCCCGAGCGATAGCACGATTGCCATACAATTCGCCAGAAAATAACAGAAAACGAGAGCGTGATTCCTGAGTGTCGAGGGCGCGGCGTTGGATACATGGCGAGGGAACCCCGCGCGAGAGCACGACTCCTGAAGAAGTGATTAGGAAGTTTTGAGGAAGTATCAGGCGGGAACAACAACACAGTTTGGCGACCCAGGGGAGGAGATCAACAATCAGTGTTCTTCAGAAGCGAGAGGTCACCACTCCGCACCGCAGAACTCCACTTCCGCCACGCACCCAGGGACAGTAAATGACCGCTCGCCCCCCCTCACTCTGATATACATTTGTATAGAAGCAATACATAGACACTCTTCGGTAATGCGTGCGTGTGTGTTGCTCCCTTGCCCTCTGCGCACTGCCAGGCGGACGTGCTCCGATATCCACCGTCTATCGAGTTCAAGCAACGGTGGACAATCCCCACCACAATTCCTCACCATCAGCTGCTATATAATTATACAGCGAAGAACACTTGTACGTTGAACCTTGCTGGACTGCGCCCCAAAACAGCGTTCTGGCCCGCAGTGCAAGCACAACGCTGAATCTACCGCCTGCTGTTATGATTACCCCCCTCCTCCCATCCCACTTATCCTGTCTCCGTCTCTCCTCCTCGTACCCCCACCCGTCCTCAAGTCTCACACCGCGCTGTCAACTGTCATCCTCAGTCGTCGTCCTCGGCGTCCTCCTCCTCCTCCTCCACATCTTCCCCCGTCCCTTCCCCCACTGCTCTCACTCCTCCCAGCCTCCTCCCTCCTCCTCCCGCCTCCTCCCCCTCCCGCAGTGCTGGATTCGCCGCCCTGCGCGGAGGAGGTCGGCAACCTTGTGCATTTGAGTCACCCTCTCCCTCCGCTCCCCTCCCCTCCTCCCCCCCTCGTCCCTTCCCGTGTGGGCGCCGCGGGTGATGTCCTCGAGGATGCCTGCGAGAAGCCCAACGAGCTCCTCGGCGGTGGCCCTCCGGCTCCCTCCCTCTCCGCCCTCCCCCTCTGGCCCCAGACGGGCGGCACAGCGGAGGGGAGGCTTTGTTGCTAGAAGCAGCTGGCAGCACAAGCATATGCAAGCAGGAACTGAGAGCCAGCATTAGAACACGAAAAGGGTGTTCCGCCGCCACCCAAAAATACCCTGGCGACGTACCCAACCCCTGCGCAAACGCGGGGCGCAAATAGTTTAGGACACTTTATAAGGGGGGCGATGACGGAGCGAGGGTTATATTTTTTACATATGCCTGCAGACGGAATTCGGGAGACTCGCAGGACACTGGCTACAGGACAAGGACTCGATAAAAACTGTTTAGTCACACTCCCTGAGCAACCCTAGCCACTTCGAAAGCGGGGATCTCAGATCGCAGCCCCCCAGGGATGGCGAGGTCTAATTTGGGTCCGCGCGTGGCGTCGCTGTGCTGGGCCCCCCAGCAGGCCTCGAAAGTGGCGACAGTTTCACTGATCGCAGCCCCCCAGGGATGGCGAGGTCTAATTTGGGTCCGCGCGTGGCGTCACTGTGCTTGGGCCCCCCAGCAGGCCTCGAAAGTGGCGACAGTTTCACAGATCGCAGCCCCCCCAGGGATGGCGAGGTCTAATTTGGGTCCGCGCGTGGCGTCACTGTGCTGGCCCCCCCCCCAGCAGGCCTCGAAAGTGGCGACAGTTTCACAAATCGCAGCCCCCCAGGGATTCCCAGGTCTAATTTTGGTCCGCGCCTGGCGCCACTGTGCTCGGCCCCCCAGCAGGCCTCGAAAGTGGCGACAGTTTCACAGATCGCAGCCCCCCAGGGATGGCGAGGTCTAATTTGAGTCCGCGTGGCGTCACTGTGCTGGGCCCCCCAGCAGGCCTCGAAAGTGGCGACAGTTTCACAGATCGCAGCCCCCCAGGGATGGCGAGGTCTAATTTGGGTCCGCGCGTGGCGTCACTGTGCTGGGCCCCCCAGCAGGCCTCGAAAGTGGCGACAGTTTCACAGATCGCAGCCCCCCAGGGATGGCGAGGTCTAATAATCAAAGCAGGCCTCGAAAGTGGCGACAGTTTCACTGATCGCAGCCCCCAAGGGATGGCGAGGTCTAATTTGAATCCGCCAGTGGCGTCACTGTTCTGGGCCCCCCAGCAGGCCTCGAAAGTGGCGACAGTTTCACTGATCGCAGCCCCCCAGGGATGGCGAGGTCTAACTTGGGTCCGCGCGTGGCGTCACTGTGCTGGGCCCCCCAGCAGGCCTCGAAAGTGGCGACAGTTTCACAGATCGCAGCCCCCCAGGGATGGCGTGGTCCTGTTTGGGTCCGCGGTGAGTGCCCTCTCTGCTGGCCTCCCAGGTCTAATTTGAATCCGCCCGTGGCGTCACTGTGCTGGGCCCCCAAGCAGGCCTCGAAAGTGGCGACAGTTTCACAGATCGCAGCCCCCCCAGGGATGGCGAGGTCCTGTTTGGATCCGCGGTGAGTACCCTCTCTGCTGGCCTCCCCAGCAGGCTTTGAAAGTGGCGACAGTTTCAAAGATCGCAGCCCCCCAGGGATGGCGAGGTCCTGTTTGGATCCGCGGTGAGTGCCCTCTCTGCTGGCCTCCCCAGCAGCCCTCGAAAGTGGCTACAATTTCACAGATCGCAGCCCCCCAGGGATGGCGAGGTCCTGTTTGGATCCGCGGTGAGTGCCCTCTCTGCTGGCCTCCCCAGCAGCCCTCGAAAGTGGCGACAATTTCACAGATCGCAGCCCCCCAGGGATGGCGAGGTCCTGTTTGGATCCGCGGTGAGTGCCCTCTCTGCTGGCCTCCCCAGCAGCCCTCGAAAGTGGCGACAGTTTCACAGATCGCAGCCCCCCGAGGGATCACAGCTGTCCTCGTTTTCACAGATCGCAGCCCCCCAGGGATGGCGAGGTCCTGTTTGGATCCGCGGTGAGTACCCTCTCTGCTGGCCTCCCCAGCAGCCCTCGAAAGTGGCGACAGTTTCACAGATCGCAGCCCCCCAGGGATGGCGAGGTCCTGTTTGGATCCGCGGTGAGTGGCTTCTGGTGAGATCGCAGCCCTGGCCTCTGAGCCCTCTCTGCTGGCCTCCCCAGCAGCCCTCGAAAGTGGCGACAGTTTCACAGATCGCAGCCCCCCAGAGATGGCAAGGTCCACTTTGGATCTGCTGGCCTCGCCAGCAGCCCTCGAAACTGGCGACAGTTTCACAAATCGCAGCCACCCAGGGAGGGAGAGGTCTCGCTCAAATCTGCGCGGTGCCTCAACCCACACGGCGAGAAGAGACAAGAGGGAGGCGGGAGGCGGGAGGCGGGAGGAGCAAGACGCGACCACGGTGCTCTATTCAAAACAAATACCCAACCAAGGAGGGTTGGGAATAAGAAAGGGGCTGGGACGTGGGCAGCACGCAATGCCGCACTGTCACCCTCGCCGGCAGGGTCGTTGCCCCAACAGCTGACGGCACACCCGGGAGGGAGGCCCTTCCTGAGTCTCATTAGAGACGTGTGCTGTGCTTTGACCAGGGGCTGTGCCTTACACTCACTGGAGAGTTTATCCAGCTTGGGCGTCGAGGCATATCGGCCGCAGGCCGAGCCAAAACAGTAGGTTCTTTTGGCTAGACCGAATGGGACTCATGCGACGCAGAACGGGAGAGGAGGGAGGGGCAGGAGGCGGCAGAGGGGGAACAGAACAGGAACAAAATCCGAAACAGCCCCTTGTCCGGGAGGAAGGGGGGGAGGGTTTGCGGGAGGGGGGAGGAAGAAAGAAGGACGGAGAAGGATGGACAGGAGGGAGGTTTGGAAGGGAGGAAGGGAGAAGGACGGCGAAGGTTTGGGGGAGGGGGGGGAGGAGGGAGAGGAAGGAAGAAGGACGGAGAAGGATGGAGGAAGGGGAAGGAGGAAAGGAGCACACGAGGAACGGAGGGGGGGGCAGGAAAGGAAGACCATAGGAAGGAGAGGAGGGGGAAGGACAGATGGAGGGGAAGTGGCGGAATTGGGAAAACAGGAGGGAGGAGGATGAGGAGGAGGAAGAGGAGGGCTCTATCCAGGAAAACCACCTGCTTCTCATCCCAAGACCTCCGACGTCGTGTTGTGGATTCTTCAATCAATCCGCGGGGCCCCAGAACTCTCGGCCCCACCACGCGCACCGCTGATCGTCGCGGATCGCTTCTTGCTGATCCCGGGCCCTGCCCGAAGCGGGCATCCCAGGGCGACCACCTGGAGGAAGACTGGCCGTGCCGACAGTCTCTCGTGGCGGTGGAGGCCTGGGGTGCCACCCGCCCCGAGGGGGTCTCGCAACGATGCCCGGGGGGCGCGCAACACCCGGGGGTGTTGTCCGGGTCCGCCAGACGAGTCTGGCCTGATGCGCCCCCCCCCCCCCGCCCCTCGTGCGTGTTCAGCCCTCGCCGCTTGAGGATCGAAGACAAACGTTTCGAACGCCTTCTGGACGTCGCACGACGTCCCTGGCAATGCTTAAACCTCGGGCGGCCTCCAGGGACCTCTGGGCCACAGGATCTGGGGCGGAGCTACAACTCACAACTCTGTCGTCGTCGTTATCGTCGTCATCGTCGTCCTTGTCGTCGTCCTCGTCCTCCTCGTCCTCCTCCTCCTCCTGCTCATCCTCCTCCTTCTCCTCTTCCTCCGCCTCCTATTCTCTTCCCCCTTCTCTTCTGCTCCTCCTCCTCCTCCTCCTCCTCCTCCTCCTCCTCCTCCTCCTCCTCACTTGGCACTCTCACGAACGCTTGCTGGCAAGCTAGCCTCAGCCTAGCTTACCCGAAGCCTGCACATCCCGCGATCCAGGGTTGGGGCGGACAGTGGGTCCAGACCGACCGTCAGCCGGGAATGCTGGCAGCCGGCAGAGCTTCTGCGGCCTCCAGCCCCCTCGCCCCCCAGCCCGCGCCGCCACCCTGGCACGCGAGGGCCGCGAAGGGCCTCGAATTATACTGAAGGGGCCCCAGGACACACAAATGAATACACACAAATAAAACGATTCCCCCTATTTTCTCAGATTTCCTGGGGTTCTGTCTTCCCCCCCCCTTCCCATATTTTCCTATATTTTCCTGGGAGTCGACGATTCATTGTGTCTGTGTGTTTTTTCTCCTCCTGACATGCGAGCACCAAGGAGGTCCACCTCCTCCTGCCGTCCCGCGCACGAGGGAGAGGACAGGGCCCCGCCCGTCCCGCAGGCAAAGAGAACCGCTGCATGAGCACAGAGCCTTTCGGAGCTCCAAGCGACGTTCTCGGATCGCTTCTGGGCCCCCCCCCCGGGCCCGCTCCGGCCGCCGCGAGGGGAGCCCAGCGACGATCCAAGGAATCCGCGCGGAGCTCCGATAGAAAGTGCATGCCTTTTTTTTTTTGATTCGAGACCGCCCAGCTGGGGCCTGAAAACACTTTTGGTCGGCGGGTCGAGAGCGGGCCTCTTCCGTTAAGAGCTAGGCGGGGCGCGCGAAGCACTAATTGGGGAGACAGGGCGCGGGCGGGCGGGGCCTCAGGCGGCCGGAGGGGGCGGGGTACAGGCGGTGCCGAAAAGCTTGCACACACGGGAGTCTGGGGATCGCGTCCTGGATCGCGCCGCATGGCCGGTGCGTCGGCGATCCTCCAGCCCCATCTGCTCTCTGGCCTCGTTCGGGCGGCCCGCATCCCCTTCCCACAATTAGTTGGCCGCCTCGCTCAACGAATGGGTCACACGCAAAGCGATGTTCCATCGTCCTTACTTGCAGGTAACAGCACTTGGCACGGGATCATTGTGCGCTGCGACTGAATGCAAAACAAGCCCGTGGCTCATGTTCTGGCTGGTGTGCTGCTCGCTGCACTGGCAACTACCATCATACTTGCGGGCAGGGCAAGTGCAGCATACTTACAGCCAACGAGCTTTCTGTTCGGCATACCGGCTCTGTTTGCCTGCGAGAGCGAGCGCGCGCGCAGCTACGGACGCTCGGCCACCCCCAAGGCCCATTGGGATCCTTGGGCAACTGCGCAGCGCGCTCGGCTAAGATGCGTGCGAAGTCCTGAACGCTGCCTCCAGCGAAGCGCACACCAAGAACCTACGTAGGACTGCTCGTGCCTGCCTTGGCCCCGATGCCCGCTCTCTTCTCGACCGTCGGTGCCACGCTTGCTGTCCCTCTTGGGCCGAAGTGGCCAAAGGCTGCAAGAACGAACAATTCCGAGATGGTCGCAAAGACCCACATGCAAGCGAACAACAGTACGGAATACTTGAGAAACAAAACGGATGATGCCGCATTAGTGCCGTATTCATGTCTGTGTGGCTGTCGGGAAGGGGCAACTGAAAACCTATGGGCCTCTTGGACCCGTTTGAGAACGCGTGTGGCCGTCGGGGCGGAGGGCATCTTGGCGGCCATGTGGCGCTCTCGGATATCAGGCGTGCTGTCTCTAGTACGAGGTTGTGTAGGACGCATCTGGTCGTGGTAAACATGGTATTGATCAAAAAGTGGTGGTGATGACGATGTGCATAAATTCCATAGCAGCCAGGTGTCCTGAAACCCCTAGGGGGGATTGCGCCGCATCGCCGTCATGGGCGATGCATCGGTGCATAAATTCCATAGCAGCCAGGTGTCCTGAACCCCCTAGGGGGGATTGCGCCGCATCGCCGTCATGGGCGATGCATCGGCGACATGGAGAAGAAAAATCTCCAAATCGCGCCATGCTGCCGATGCATTGGCGATGCGGCGCGATCTTCCGACACTATCTTCTCGGGACACATTTTCGTTCAGGTCTCAACCACTTCCGCTGTCCCTCATCTCGCCCTCGCGCTGGAGCCCCCACGATTCGTTCCAGAAGTGTTTGGCCTTCCGTCTGGACCCGCAGCGGTCTGTCTTGCTTGAGACCCAGGATGATTAGTGAAGAACTGTCAAGCCCTCAGGGACATTCGGGATGCCTCGAACCATCTGAATCAACATCGACTTTTGAAGGTGCTCGCTTGCATCTTGGATCGGGGCTGGATTCCCCTCTCTGGCCCACTCCATGCACCAGGAGGCGCCCAGCGCCGATCCGGGAAGCCCAGGGGGACCTCCGAACGTTTGTGCTTATGCCGAGTCTTGTTCTTCGATGGAATGCCCTGGAGCCCGCCGCGCTCAGATGGGGAAATGATCCTGGCTCAAGAAGGTCCCAACTTTTCGCGCCGACTCGGAGCCCCGGGGGCCCTCTGGGCTTCGTGAGGGCTGCTCGAGAGGCCATCGGGGCCTCTCTGGGGGACACCTTGGGCCAGGGACACCGGGACACCTTCGGGAGCACCCGACCCGACCAGCCGCGCCCAGAGCCTCTGCGCCGAGCCTGCTCCATCGCAAAGTCGCTCCATCCCCTCCAGCGCATCGCGGATGCATTCGCGACGTCGGCGATGCATCGGCACCGTCGGCGTGGAAGAAGAATCGGACTCCACATCGAGCCGCATCGCCGATGTATCGTCGACGCATCGCCGCGATCCTCCGCCCCGTGTGCTCAGAGTCCATTGGAGATGCCCCGAGGACCCAGACATGCGATGTCCTGATTGTTTCAATACGGGATCCCCGAAGTCCCGACCCTTTCCCTGGGGTCGGTTTTTCATCGCGAGTCGCTTTTCCACGGCCCAGGGTCCCGGCGAGGGCCCCCAGAGGCCGAAAGCGAGCCGAGGGCCCCCAGAGGCCGAAAGCGAACCAAAACCGTCCATCCTGCTTTTGTTACAACGCGATCACACCTGGGAAACGCTCCGAAGCCATCTAGACGGGAAATCTCGGACCGAATCGGAACGTGCGTCGGATCGGGCCGCACCTGCCCGGAGGCGAGCTCGAGTCGAATGGACTGCAACAGCATGCACCACAGCGCCGTGCAGGCACCGGACCGCACCGCGCCGCCGGGAAAGATGAGCATCGAATTGGATCGAACTGGCCGAAATCGACGTGGCGGCGCGCACAGGGGGTATGGGGGAGGGGGAAGGGCTTCTTTGAAGGAAGCTGCTTCTCAGAGGGCGCGGGCCTTACATCCAGCTACGGAGAACGCCCGTGCCTTCTGAAATCGGGGTGCTTCCAAAAAGCCTTCCCCCCTTCGCCGATCGACATGGAATCGGAGGAGGAGGAGGAGAAGGAGGAGGAGGAGGAGGGAGGAGGAGGAGGAGGAGGAGGAGGAGGAGGAGGAGGAGGAGGAGGGAGGAGGGAGGAGGGAGAAGGGAGGACGGAGGAGGGAGGAGGAGGAGGGAGGAGGAGGAGGAGGAGGAGGAGGAGGAGGAGGAGGAGGAGGAGGAGGCCCTGGAAGCTCCTCCGGCCCGCCCGCGGGCGCCACCGCGGGCGCCGGCGGCCAGGCCGCGGCCGCGCCGAGCGAGCCGGCGTCGGCGCCTCCGCGGGGCGCGGATGCTCGCGCGGTTTTGGCAGCATTGTGAGGGTGTTCACAAAAGGCCGAGCATCCCGGAAGCATCTTCAACGCGCCCCAGAACCGCACGAGCATTTTTGGAACACCCATATAATCTCACCAAGATTGCTTAAAACCGTGCGAGCATGTTTTGGAGCATCGTCCAAATTCAACCGAAACCGGAGAGCATGTGTTGGAGCATCGTCAACATTCAACCGAAACCGAAGAGCATGTTTTGGAGCATCGTCAAAATTCAACCGAAACCGAAGAGCACTTTTTGAAGCATCGTCAACATTCTACCGAAACCGAAGAGCATTTTTTGGAGCATCGTCAAAATGCAACCGAAACCGAAGAGCATTTTTGGAGCATCGTCAAAATTCAACCGGAATCGGAGAGCATTTTTGGAGCATCTGCCTCAAAAAAACCTAAGAGCATTTTTGGAGCTTAAATAATGCTTTCATCATCTCCCAGAGATAGGCTTAGAGGCGCATCGTAACACAAGGAGGAAGCTTTCTTCAACATTCACTTGAAGCATGGGACCGATGCATGTTTTTTTTTCGGTTTTAATCCGAAGTCGGTCTCGCCAAGTCTTACGATAGTAATACTGTAGCTACGCGTCTGGGAAATCTACTGTCGAAATCGACATAACCTGCTACAGATGCGAAAAATCCTTGTTCCCATAACGAACTTTCAAAATCTCTCAACATCTTCCTAAAACCGACCTCAAATTGCCATATTGCCCGTCCTGGCCGGGTCGATCAACTGGAAGCCGGCGGCCAACAGTCACCCTTGGTCACCGCCAGCAACTCGTAGAGCTTCCTTGCCATATATTTGAGTGACATGCGAGCGCGGCAATCTCGCGTTCAGCGACAGCGAGGCGGTCTCATAGAAATGTGCTCGACAGCTCCTTGCTTGTCCACAGCTCGAGTTCAGTTGAGACAAACACCCACGAAACAAAGCACACGACATAAGCTAAACATACGTTTCCAATATATGTGAAATTATCAAGAATCTCTCGTCACGTGTAGAGTATGCGAGCTCGGTGGCTGTTTGCACAGCACAAATCGTTTGCCAATCGCAACCCTGGTAGCAGACCGATCTCAGACGTCTCGATACTGCAGACTATGTTCTCTCTCTCTCTCTACATATATATACACGTATAATATATATATATATATATATATATATTCATATATATTCACAGACATGTACCTCTGCTATGTTTTTTTTTTTCTCTCTCTCTCTCTCCCTATATATATATACACACCGATCTCTCGATCTAACTATCGGCCATCGGGACAACCATCGGGGCAACCATCGGGACAACCATCTGGACAACCATCGACACAACCATCGGGACAACCACCAGGACAATCATCGCGACAAACATCGGGACAACCATCGGGACAACCATCGGGACAACCATCGGGGCAACCATCGGGACAACCATCGGGACATCCATCGGGACAACCACAACCATCGGGACAACCGCCGGGACAACTGCTGGGACAACCGGGGGCCACGCCCGGCGCTCGGGGGGCGGCCCTTTTGGTAATATATGGCCTCTACTGCGGATGGAACCCGCGCAGCTTCCCCGCGCCCGCACGCACGACACGAACCGAAACCGAAACCGATTTCCCGGTTTGGGTCACTTCTATTCCATACCCCCAACCCCCGATAATACCATGATGCGCTTTAGCGAGGACCCCAGCGAGAAGGGAGATCCCGATTTTGGAAAACAAGAATCCCCCAGCTGTCTAGCTTCTTCACATGTTAGCAATTCTCCTCATGCACTTCGAGGACGTCTCAAGCGAGAGTCCTATCTTGAATAGGAGCAACGCTCCATCGGTGTAACTTTTGCCAACATGTGGCGCAACTGTGCGCCATGCTAAAGCGAAAGCCCCAGTGTGCAAAGAAACCGCCCTTCATGCCCATAGCTGTTGCAAACGTTTCAAGCAAATGTGAGCGGCGCTAAGAGCGATAGCCTCATTTTGAAAACTGTTTCTCCTCCACCCTTGCACCTGCTGCAAACTGTTAAGGGCGTAGTGGGCCCTGGAAACGACAGGGCCTTTTTAAAACCGGTTCCGTTTTGCTGTTTTTTTGCCGGTTCCGACGCCGTTTTGTTACCGGTTCCGTCGCCGTTTTGTGACCCGTTCCGGTTCCGGTTGGAAACCTGGAGCCGTTTTGTTTGCCGTTTTCAGTCGCCGTGTTTGTTGCCGTTTCCATGTTCGAAGGACATGTTTTGGGAAACGGTGCAAAAACGGCCCTGCCGTTTCCGGGGCCCACAGAGGTTAAGAGACGGATGTGCGCGGCGCTGGGGTGAGAGCTCCGCTCCAGAAACGACCGCCTCCAGCCGCGCAGCGGCTCATCCGCCGCCGTGCCCCCGGCTCGAGATGGAGTGCCACAGCGCTCGCCGTGTGCTGCTGCTGCAGCCGGGAAGCCGAGACGTTCGGCTACACGCGAGAGCGACCCTGGGTAAGAGTGACCTTTGGTGCGCGGCTCTTTGTGGGCCGCGGGGGGGCCAAACCTGGGCGCGCAGGCCGCTGCTCCTGCTTCGGCTTCGGTTTCGGCCATCTGGGGACCCATCTGTGCCCGCACCAAAGGTCACTCCGGCGAAAGGCCACTTTTACGTCTAGTCGAGGTGTAAAGGCCGGGGCACATGGTTTCCTGGGCGCTCCTGGTCGGGGATCTTCAGACCCGGGTCAATCCAGACCCGGATCAGCCAGGCCTTGCAGAATCCTGCAAGACCCTGCAAAAGCCTGCACCCAAACCCGGGTCAATGCCACGGATTCTGCAAAATCCTGCAGGATCCTGCACCCAAGCCCGCGTCAGTGCGACCCTGGCCCTGCAGGATCCTGCAAGATCGGGCGCTCTGGCTGACACCCGTTTGCACTGACCCCTGTCGCGAGGCTCCCGACCTGGGCGCTCCTGGGCATTTCCAGGAGC